GCAAGTCATTTTTTCATGGAGAACTCGATACTGTTTGACTTACAAAACAAACTTTAATATTATTTTCACTAAATTATATATATATATATACACACACATATAAAATAGCTTGTCTATGCTGCAAGAGTCTCACATCTTTCTCATGTAGCCCTTAAAGATATAATTCTAATGAGCAAAACTTTACATTTTTTAAATTCTGGTGTCATGGAACCTGAAAAAAAAAATACTGGAAAAGTGATACATTCCTATATAGAATATAAATGATAAAAATTCATTATTTCTGGAAAATGCATGTCAGTTATTAGCACAAATAAAGTACATTATACACTAGGGGACATGAGTGTCCAACTTATGGGGACTATAAAAATTTTGGAATCCAAAAATATTTGGCCCACTTATTCCTAGAATGGTAATTTCTGTGATTTATAAATGTCTATCGTGATTTTTGACTCGATAATAACAAAATCTCAGTATGTCTCATTCTTAATGGGAGATATACGCACTGACATAACAGAATAACTAATTTTAAGAATACCTCCTAGTAGGACAGGCAATCCAACCATTTCTCAAGTTATGATTGGATGTGACATTTCTGTGTGCCAACCCATCATATGTCTTTCTGAAAAACATGCCACAAATTTGGACCAATCAATAAGGCAGTTGGTCAAGACTAATTTATTTGAAAAAACAAATGTCATCCAATGTAATTAAACTGATACATCCAAAGAAAAGCAAAGTTTATACTAAAAAAAAAAAAAAAAACAGTATAATGATTATACCTGTGTGGCTCTAAAGTCATCACTAGTCAAAATTACTTCCATGTACAATATAGAAGAGGTTACCTCAAGTACAGAATAATTGTTTCAAACAAAATCCCCAAATAAAAGGAATAGATATTGCTTCCCAATTTTACTCATTCAAATCTTAGAAGCCTCTCTAAATTAGTTGCCAGTCTCAAGAAAAAAATCACTTTTAAATTAACCCTTTTTAAAAAGACAATTAGCTTATAATTGCCTATGCTTAAAAAAAACCTTAGAAAAGAGGTGATATCTTCTAACCAAACAACTGTAATTAAAATTGCTTTCCTCATCAAACCCTTTACATAATTAAACCAGTTAAGAAATAACAATATTTTAACTGGTTTAAAATACTGTTACTAAATTAAACAACAGCTATTGACATATATATGCATATACTAATAGTTTTTGTAATATAATCTATGGGATTCACATTAGATATGCTTTAATTCTAAGAAAAACCCATATGGAAAGACAAATCAGACAAAATTCACACTTCCAGCAATTATTTACTTTACTGAAAGTCACAGAATTTTTTAAGCCAAAAATATCACAAATAATTCTCAGTGTAAAAAGGTAATGTATATTCACTTTTTTTTTTTCTTTTTCCCAACACATGGTCTCACTGGATAGTTCAGGCTGGCCTTAAACACACTATGTAGCCCAGGCTGGCCTCAAACTCACAACGATCCTCCTGCCTCAGCCTCTCAAGTGCTGGGATTACAGGCATGCACCACCATGTCCAGCTTTCACTTTCTAATAAAAATACTTAACACAGAGCTGCAAACACTACCATTTAAGGAAAATAACTGTGCATGAAATTGTGCAGCTTCACCACTATATTTTGGTTCAAATCCAGTTACTGTCAATAGCAGCACAAGATATTTAAGTCTTGATATAAACATACTTTCTACATCTCAAAAAGGGATTCACTCATATGTAAGCATGCTTTAAAAGATACTTTACTGACTAGCCTGTAAAACAGCAGGTCTAAGGCTCAAATAATAGCCATATGGCTATCTGTACCATACAGGTAAATGTAACAAAATGAGAAATTACCACCATTAGACACTAACTCAATGAACATATTTAGAAAATATTTGTAGTCTCTAATTGACCCATCACTTCCCTTAAAGAACTGCACACACAGACACACAATCAACACCACCAGTTCTAGTTGTTTGTTTTTTTGTAACACTCTACTCTTCCAAATTAGGACCAAATGAAAACAGAAGTCAATCTACTTCCTTATACTGAAAAAAAATAATTAAAATAGAAGCATGAGTTTGCCAAAGTACTATGTACTACTACTATCTTGAAGATTATTTTTTTTCCCTAAAAGTCGCATTTAAATAGTTTTAAAATATAAGTATTTTAAAAAATATATATATATAAGTATTTTAAGTAGGTAAAATTTTTCATAGCTGGGTCCGCAGTCTTATCTGGGATCTGTCCAGGGTATCCGCAAGGCCAAACTACTTTACTAATATTACCTACATGTTCTTTGCCTTTTCCATTCTTACTCTTTTCAGAGACTATCTGACCTATAATACCATCATTCTGTTCACTAATTCTGTTCACTAATGGGACGTATGCTTGTATATTAAAAATTTCTCACTTTAAATTTCCAATGCAGGGCTGGGGATTTAGCTCAGCGGCAAAGCACCTGCCTGGAAAGCACAAGGTTGTGAGTTCAATCCCTGGTACCGGAAGAAAAACAAAAAACAAAACAAAAAGAAAATTTCAAATGCAAAGCAATCAATGGATAAAATATAATCAAAAGTTCTTTGGTAATCAAACAATTTTTAAGAGTATACGTATTACATTATAAAATCCAAAATAATAATCTATGATGGACCATAAGCTTTATAGTTTGAAATAAATTTGAAGCAATCAAGATTTTATAAAAATTTCTATTTAGTATCTCATACTTCTTTAAATCTTGTTCTTTTTCTTCAAGTACTCGCATTCCTGAAAAACTGTTTTAATCTTAATCTGAATTATTTTTCACTACGAATCATATTTCAAGTGTTATTTCATTTTAATATGCAGTAGTTCAACTTAATAGATTCACTTAACATTTATGATCTAACCAAACCATTTAGAACTAGTTTTATGAGGAATTTTCTGAATTTCAATCAAATTTCTTAAGTAAATTTGTGGAATTAAGTCACTTTTCAGTGACTATTTCCTCTACTCAAATGAAACTAAGTTTAGCCAAAGAAATCAATATACATATCTGTTTTAATTTTCCCCATTAGGGTGCCAAGAACAAAAGTTAACTCAAATGCACTCCAGAGAAAGGGATTCTCTCAAAATTATCAACACAAGAATGAAAGAAAGCACCTTCTTTCGCACACTGTCAAAATTCCCTTCTGTTACCTCATATCTCTGCCCAGGTATTTTGGATTAAAAACTATTTCCCACTCCCTTGGGATGCGAGGCATTTCTGTGATCCTTCCTTACAATAAAAAAGAAAGAAAATTTTCCAATAGGAACCAATTCTCTGTGTCTACCATAAAACATATTTATTAGGAACTAATCGTTTGCCAATTCTTGAATTCCCCAAAGAGGAGTATCATTAGCTGTTGGAAAAGGTAAACTTTTAAGTTTCAGTTTTCCCATCTGAAAAGTGAGGAGATAAGACCTACCTTATAAACCAATCATAAATCAAGTCTTACAGGATGAACCAGGTGGAAAAGAAGAGAAAGAGAATTTAGACCAGAAATATGTATGGGAACAGCATGCTCCAAAAAAAACAGCAGTTCAGCAAACACTGAAAGGTTTGTACTAGCATAGCAGAAGGCTTACTTGCTATGCAAAGTTCAGGCCATGAAGACATAGTTAAGTTTACTAAGGAATGTGTGGCTTTAACAGTACAGCAGTACTAAGGGGTTTCACCAAAGAATGGAACACAGAAAAATAATATATTGAGAAAAGATGATAGATAAAGTTATGGATTCAGTCCAACTGAGTTTGGGGCATGCTCAGTTAGAAATGAAAGTAACATTTATAACAAAAAAAACCTAGGAATTATTCAGCATAAGGGAGTAGCTACGCAGACTCTATGAGTTGTTGGGTGGTCCTTTCAAACTTTTATTTCATTTTGCGTTGTTCTGTTTTTTATTAGTATATGTTTACAGTACATTATGCTTACACTCTCAGTGTAGAGTTGATACCTGTACAAACTGTATCTTAATTCCTTTTTCATTTCCTAACCCACCATCTCCTGGTCCCCTTCTCATTTGAGGAAAAATTATCTTCCCACTAACTTTTATTTTATTATTTATTTATAATTTGGGCTTCTCTTATACAAGAAATCATGCAGTATTTAAGCTTGTGTGTCTGATTTACTTAAATTAACATTGTAGTCTCAAGGTGCATTTATTTTCCTGCAAATCACTCATTTATCTTTCTGACAGAGTAGTCACAGAAAGAAACACTCCTCTATTTGTTTTATCTACTTGTTTCTGAAACTAAATTTCATAAAACAATAGTTATTGATTATATATCTCAACAGCTTCCATTCCTTTAAAAAATAGTTTGGGTCCAATAAATTTACATCAAAACTCATTACAGGAGTCACTGGCTGCAGACTACTGAAGGGTATCTGATGCAGTAGGTAGGTTCCTACCTGAGCAACTGCAATATCCAAGGGCTAACACATTTGAATTTTTAAACCTCATCTGTGACTGTTTACATAATGGGAGAATAATGTGTATTTGTGTATTGTTAGAGTAAATTTAGAGTAAATTTTCATGTATTCCTTTTGGAAAAGAAGTATATTATTGGATGTGTATACTCACTGATGTTTGAATACTTAGGGGAAATTATTATTTCACAGTACCTCAAGTGGGCTTAAAGATTTAATTTATAATGCTATAAAATGAATAAAAAAGAAAAACTGATGGATTTGGTAAGTTGCAGCTGTCCCTTGGTATCTGAGTGGGACTGACTGCAGGACCCTTGCAGATACCCAAATCCACAGATGATTAAGTCCTTTACATAGAATGATACAGTAACTGCATAAACCTATACATATTCTACCATACACTTAAAATTATCTCTAGATTACAGTAGCTAAGACAATGTAAATACTACGTAAATAGTTGTTACACTATATCCTTAGGGAATAAAGACACATTAAAAAGGTCTACACAGGTTCAGTACAGATGTAATTTTTTTCAAATGTTTTATCCACAGCTGATTGAATATGTAGATGTGGAACTTGTAGATATGATGGGCCAACTGTAATAAAGAAGATTCCATATTTTGCTATAATTGAGGTAGGTCAAACATAGTGGTTAAGAATATGAATTTTTATGCCATCTGGCCCAAATGCTAATCTTGACCCTGAACTTTGCTGTCATCTCTCTGTACATCAAGTTTTCTGACCTAGAAAACAGTTAACAGTGCAATACTTTCTACCTCACAGAAACACTGTGAGAATTAAAACTAAAATACATAAAAGGTTTAGAAGAATAGCTGGTTCAAATATTAAATATTTTTATAATTTACCTTGGAACTCTTTATCCATCCAAAATCTTAGTTCTTTTAAATGAAAGGAGTCTTTCACTGTGTGGTATATTAAATATTTTTTCATTCTTAATAGGGGAATAGGAAAACCATTTTTCTTTTCCATCATGGTGTTCACAGAGCGCTGTTATAGTACCTTAAATTGGGTGAAATTGGAGATCTTATATAAGAACAACTTGAATCTTCATACTCTCCCTCTTCTGTAATTAATTCACTTCTGAGTATATGAAAACATCAAAGGATACTATAAACACTAAAACTAGTAATTACTGTATACTATTACAAGCATTAATTTAATAATTATGTCTTGCTCAATCATCATCTATTGTTTCCTCTACTTAAATTTTTATGATGTATGTTGAGATTTGGGGGCATTTAGCATGAAATTCAAAAAGTAGTATTCTGGGACCACTGTCAGGTCACCCCATAACCACACATTCCTTGGTGTATCATAGTGCCTGTATTGATACTTATGAACTTGAACCACCAAGGCTGTATTTTCTCAACATGGTCTCTTTAAGAAGACACTATAGAAAAATTGCATTTAAGGGGAAAAAAGCTTTAAATTTAAAAGAGTAGCCTCTAGTCATCTAGAAAGTTAACTCTTTTATAGTATAAAATCTTGTTTTATTTATACATTATCAACCTCTGGCTTTAAATTTTGTCTACACATGCATCTGGCACACAATTATAATAATTTCACTTAGGTCAGATGTGATGAGAAACAATAAGGTGACATATGCAAAATTTCTTACCTATTGGTCGACTGGTGAATACAGCTTTACAGACTCATGTTTTTGGTTCTTTCTTTAAAAACGTACAGAAATACTACTTTTTCCATTTTTACCATAAATATATAAAGAAATTACTTTTGTTGCTATTTCTCACTATCCTGACTTTTGCCTCCTATTCTTTTCTTGTTAAGATTTTGTCAACTAAAACTATGGAATGGGAAAGAATAGTATTATATTCATAGTAAAAATAACCATGGTATTAGTAGTGAGAGAAAAGGAGCTGGAATAATAACAATAACAAATAATGGTGGGCTTTGTTTTTGAGTGCCTAAAATACACAGGTACTATGTTACATGAAGTATACTGTATTTACAATCTCATTGCAATAATCCTATAAAGAAAATACCATCAGCATTTTACATATTGGAAAACTTGCTTCAGACAGATTAAGTAACTGGATGAATTATACCACAAAAATTACTAAACTACAAGAATTGAAGCGAGCAGTGTGACATACCAGGCTTCTGCTCAGCAAAGTGTTAACCTTTGCCTCCACTCCTGTCTTCTCCCTTTAAGAGGGAAAAAACTATTTCCACTTGAAAAGGAAATAAATCAGGTGATCTTATTTACAAACGTTTAAATAAACTATTAAAAGTATCCAATTTTTTAGAAGCAAATACCCTCTAAACCCAAAATTTCACTTTTAAATTATATTCCCAGAAAACAATTCCAGGAGTAAAAGAAAAATGAAAAAAATTAAAAACTGGGTGTCAGCAGGGAATTAGTATAGGTGTGTTTATAATACTAAAATACCAAAAAAAAAGTACACAAGCAACAATGACTAATAGGTTACACACATTGGCACGTCGATACAGTGGTATAGAAGACAGCTTCTAAAAATACTATTATATTGTATTTACTGACCCAGAATAATGTAATTAGGCAGTTACAAAAACCAAAAGCATTTTTAATCAAAATAAATGCTTATACCTGTGCATACATGTGTTAACAAGTCTGAAACATGACTAAACAAATAGACTATGTAATCAGAAGAATTCTGGGAAGGTACACTTTAAAACACATTTCTGTATTAAAATAAATACAGGCTAGTTTTTTTGTTTTGCTTTTGTTACGATGTTAGGGATTGAACTCAGGGCTTCAAACATGCTAGACAAGTACTCTACTGACCTACATTCCCTCCCCTTATTACTATAAGAATCATGAATAAAATGGTCATTTTTATCCTGTAGAAACAAGATGCTAATCAAGATGTATGTACAGAAATATTCATTAAAACACTGTATAATGTAACAAGGAAAAAATAAAAGTAATTTGGGTACCAAGTAAAGTGATACACTTCTTGTTCATGAAAAACATTCTATCAAATCATTTCTCTGAGGATAATGTTCTGAATATATAAATAAGTAAAGCTATAAACAAAGTATAATTTTTTTCATAAAATGCACCTTTCATGTACACAAAACATTTACTCAGGTATAAACAGTGACTGACTTGTCTTTGTCTGGTGTACTACAAGTAACTTATTAATCTATCATGTGTTATGTCTCCCAACATTTCTTTAGTAAAATGTATTGATTCTGTAATTTTAAAAAGTAAAATAAGGGGCTGGGGATTTAGCTCAACGGCAAAAGTGCCTGCCTGGCAAGCGCAAGGTCGTGAGTTCGGTTCCCGGTACCGAAGAAAAACCAAAAAAAAAAATTAAAAAGTAAAATAAATAAAAGGCCTTTCCAATCTAAGCTACTTATACTTGAGACAACAAATGACCTATATCCAATATTAAATTGCATACCATTTTGTGTAGAGATGACTGAAAGTCAAAAGATTTTCTACAATTAAATACTTCTGGCAAAACAATGTATCATCCTAAAAAGTAACTGATAGGTCTTTTTAAAGGGAAGTGAATTTCTATAGATTAAGGTCTACCATTCAATAATTTGTTTGAGATAATTGAAGGTCTTCCTAAGTATGATCAGGATTTCCTGGTGTAAGATTTCCTACACGAGATCACAGTTCTAAATCTCTAGATTATCTTCCTCCACAGCAGGAAAACAGCTGGGGAAAAAAAAAAAAAAAAAAAAAACCTCTACTATTCTATTATACTGTACACTTATCCTGACACTTAAAAATATGACCTAACCATTCACTTCCTACCCAAATATATTTCTTATTCTAACAAATTGTTGTTTTAAATCCTCTGCCCAACTTTGGCCACAGAGTTTCTAGTTAGTGATTCTATTAAGCTACTATATCTCAAAATTTTTAATTCTGTCAGAAATTGCCCATTTACACTGTGTAGTTAAATAAATAACCTTGCTATGATTATAATATATATAATTTGAAATAGTCCACTAATGTACACAAAAACTATTTTTCATTAGAACTTTGAGATAGTTAAAAGTTTCAAAGAAACAGAAATAGCAACTTAAAAGTTAATAAACTATGTATTAGGAAGTTAACTTTATTATACAGCCCTTCTCCGACTGCTATGTAAGACAACCACTGCAATCTATGACTTAAGAATCAATTTGGAAGTTTATTTCAAACAAAAAGCAGTAAGTGACTTGCAAGTGTTCTTTACTTACATACTAGATGTCCTACATATGAACAGCCTCTATCTCAACAACAAAAAGTCTACAGATAATTCTACACTACCTGTTGCAGTGACCTGACCTTTAAATCCCTTTTCTCTTAGAATTGCCTCTAAATAAACTGCCAGCAAACAACTAACTGCAGATACTGCCGCTCCTGGCTTCTAATAGAGAACAATTCAGAGCCAGTCAACAACGTAAAATGTGCAACTTAAAGGGAAAGGCAAATGAAGAAAAGGTAAGCACAACTGAAATCGCCGTGTTCTCACTTCAGGACCTTGGTGCAGAAAAGTCGATGTACCTAGCCTTTCCTTCCATACTTTCAAATCACTAATTATTTTCATGCTCTTTACTGTAAATATGTACCAAGAAGTTTGAGAATCCTTCCAAATGTACATTAAGTGACTTTTGGTTTCTAGCTTTTCCTTAAGATTATTTTTATCATTTCAAAAATCCCCATTTATTTGCATAAACTTGTAAAATCTCAAACAAGGTAGGACTTGCACTGATGACAGGAAAAGACCACTGCTAACACTGTTTTGTATTATAGTAAGCTGAAGAAGAAAGAAACCCTAATCACAAATAGTGTGTCTGACAAGAGGCTAATAATACATTTATGGAAGAGAAGAAGGGTGATGGCCCACTGCCAGGTAACACTGAGCATGCTCTTAAGTCAGTGATAGCAAACCTTTTAGAGCTTTCAATGATAATAAACAGCCTTGGTGTGGCATATGTGTCATAGGTTCACCACCACTGCTCTAGGTTTTAAAAAAGTAAATGCTACTCAGTCCTTTTATCTTTCAAAACAAAAAGCTGTTCTCCATATCCTGATTCACACTTATATGGCCCCAACTAGTGTATTAGTAGAATACCTGTGCAGATCATTACAGAAATCAAAAGAAAGAAATGTGTCTTTTAGACAACCTAAGCTAGTGCTGTTAAGAGGTTTTTCAGCAGAAATTTTCTTACTTATAAATGGTATCTAGGTCTCATAATACCATCAGCATTAACAGTGCATATAAAAGGTTACAGTAGACTAGATTAAGGACCCATTTCACAAAACACTCCTAGAAAGAATAAGAGTTCCTCATCCCCCAAAACCCCTAAAACAAGTACAATTTGAAAAATCAATTCTTGCATATTGCTCATTTATATTTCATGAACCACCCTACCCTTCTGATATAACCGGAGCAAGTATAGCAACATTTCTACACAGAGAAGTAATTTCCTTTCTTCTTATAAAAAAAAAGAATCTGCTTTTTCTAAACTTACATATCCTGAGTAGCAGACTGTCTTGACTATAGCAGTCCAAGCCATTGCTGGAAGGCAGCCCCAATAGTAGGAAGGGAGTAATTTCACACATATCTTCTATTTAAGCAGTCACACATGTTATGACACTGCCCAAATGCCAAAGTGTGAATAGAAAGCTAACTTTTATAAACCTAAGTTTTATTCAACACCTTAAAACTTAAGAAAAAAAGCCTGATATCCTAATTCTGAATACACTGCTTTAAAGGTAAGGTAATTCATAGTTTTTAAAAAAAAACTGCCCTATTTATACAACTGTGGACATTTTTCACTACTTTGAGGAAATATAATGGGATAAGTCTTACTTCATTATTATCCATGGTCCAGACTTAATTACTCCATATTACATACTCACCATTTTTTTCCAGGCCTCAAATACAAAATGCTTCAAAACCGACAATTTTCAAGTCAGCATACAGCCATTTCAACAGTTAAAATCTGTGCTTCTCCCACTTCACCATACGAAGCTAATGCAAGAGACAATGCCTTCCTACTTTTAGGGCAGACTCAAGTTACTCATAAAACTTGAATTTAATCAATTACAAATTCCAAATGATAATACCAATCATATTTTAAGTAAAAGGAAACAATTCATGCATCATCAAATATTCATTATTGAAATTCTGCTCAGCCAGTGCTGATGTAGCTTTTATTTCTCCTTTGAACTTCCATTTATGGTTCTTCCTCACTTCTTATCCATTAAAGAGATAAGGAAATTATAAAAGACATGATGAAGTAGACAGTTCCATGTTGATAGAAGGATACATCAAGTCCAACATTCTGCCTGATGAATGACCTTTCCAACATTATTGATATACATATAGGCCTTTCTATTCAGAGTTGGGATGACATCTCTGGAAGAAGTCCTACCTATCACTTACATTTACATACAGCCTGGGGCAACTGGACCAAATACACATCTTCTGGGAACAAATATTTCAATTTGAAAATTACAGGCCAAGTATCTTCTAAAAGCAAAGGCTTAAGGTCATTTAATTTAAACTCTACCTTCTGCTACCACTGTGCTGGCGATGGAGGAATTAGACAGACCTAGCAAGCAGACAACTCCAAATGATATCTTTAATAGCAACACTATTCTGCTCATTAACATTTCCAGATGAGCAGTATAGTAACAAAGGATTAAATCACAGCCAATACCATGTTTGAAGATTTTCTTTCAATTATTTATATTTACATGTTATTATAATATATTTTCTATTATTCTCCTACCTACTGTTAAGATTAGGGTTATAATTTCATTCAGCCTCAGTGACAATGAGCACTATACGTAGAAATAAGTAACAGCCTTTGAAACTCTATGCACTGCAATCATTTAAGGCTTACCAACCCTAGCGTCAAAGTACATGTAAACATAATTCTTGAACATTCGATAAAGTATTTATTTTATTAAATAAGACTGACATAATACAGGCAACAGAAACCTAATTTTTTAAAAATCTAAAAATAAAATCCTTAGTATTATCAATACCTACTATAAAGAAAAACATGTTTTCACAACCAAACGGGAAAGCAGAAAATATCATATTTGAAGGCAACATGTCAAAAAAATTATTGTATCTATATAAAAGGAAAACATGGGTATTTGTACTGTTCTTACAATACCTGTTTTATCATAAAAGAAAAGTTAAATTTGAGATCAGCATATAAAACATTTTCTTTAATAACATCAATATTAATTAAAAAAGCATCCTTAAATGTATCGTACATTCTTCTGAATATTTTTTTCCTAAACTATAATTTTAAAAAGAAAGAAATCTACCAACTCAAACATAATTTTAAAAATTATCATAGCCTTCACAATGTATAGAAATCACATCACAAAGCTTTAAAACTATGTTACAAATGAATTTTATAAGAGAAACACTAATTCTTTGTATTACATAAAAATTCTAATACTTTTGCGTGTGTAAAAAATAAGCACAAGGGGAATAATTTATAATGTAATATTCCATTCATATGGTTGACACATATAGTGCTCCAAATGCCACACTGACATTATTCACATTAATCCTAAACTTTGCTCTTAGTTTGAATACTTTCATATTACAAACTGAACTCAAATTAATACAGTGCTTGAAAGTTCAAGTATATCTATACTACCTACAAATTAGTCCAAAGAACACAATCATCAGAATAACAATAAATATTCAGATTTTCTAAAATTATCACTTATAAGAATAATGATGTTTATTTTTCATTATTTTAAACACAGGCGAAGAAGTTATTGCAATCCTTAAAAATAACACTGCTATCCTAGACGTCTATAATATTTCATACTTTAAAGTATTTTAAAAATCTATAGTCTGATTTTAGTCTCACAAAACTTTGTATATATGTATCATAATACCAATTTAACAGATTTTATACCTACTATAATATTAAATTTAAGATAATTTATCTTATTTTCAAATTTTTAAAAATGTTTTTTGAACAAAAATGTACATAACAAGCACCAGAAAATATACCATTATGTTCACTGTGAGAAACTACATGCATCAATCAAGAATGATAGATTAATAATTTTTAGAATTCAAAAATCAACAGTGTTGCAACAATTCAACACATTAAGTGGGAAAATCTAATCAAAATGTGGGAAAATAACATATCAACTAAGCCATTTTATTACTGAAGTAAAAAGATAAGAAAAACACAATCAAAAAAGGAATTTTTCTGTACCTTTTATACTCCATCTAGTTCTATGAGATGAAGAAAATATCAGTTTGATTAACATTTGCAATTTTCTTTTTTAGAACTATTAAAACAGAAATATTTAATAAGTCCTAAAAATGCATTTATAATCCAATACTGTGGGCTTTTGAATAATGAGAAAACATGGAGGTTATACATAAATTTGGTAACAATCTGGTAAGTGAACTGTGTCACTTTAGAATAAGTACACTGTATTTCAGAATATTGCTAATAAACTAAAATAACACACTAACATTTATCCCAAAGTTGCAAAATATTAACCAAATCTGGTAATCTTTTTATTCTTTTTCTTCCAAATATTAAAAAACAGAATTTTTCTTCTAAAAACACACACATTATCAATAAAATGACAAAATAATCTTTTAAGTAACAAATCATCAATCACGTGCTTATTTAACTTCAGCACCAAGTTCACTCTTATAAAAGACCAATGAATGGATTCCCAAGGACAACTGAAATTAGGCTTACTAACCTATACTATGTGGTAGATCAATCAGAAGTAAATCTAATGTTTCCCAAATACTGAAAATATATAGAATACCTAAAGGCCAATTAACATATCATAAATCTATAAAATACTTTAGAACTAATGTTATAAAACATCATCCTGGATACAGAAAAAATCTGTAAGTAAACAGCCTTTGATGTGTTAATATTTCAAAATGAACAAAAAGAGCACTGGATTCTGACTACAATGTTGCCCTGCAAACACACATGCTTGGAGACACAGCTGATGAGACCATATCATGACAGCTACTTAAGAAGGGAAACATTTTGAATGAGATCAACACAAATCTACTCTGACCATGATTCATGAAAAATTACATACTATGAATACAATGAAACTCTACCCTTGAGAAAGATTAGAAATTCCAGTAAAATCTATCTTACCTTCTCAAAATATTAAAGGAAAAAAATGGACATATTGTTATTAAAATAATTTGCTAGGTAAATATGTCTAAAATTCATCAGCAATGAGATAATTATAATTAAAATAAAAACCACTTTATATGGCAAAGTCAATGTGAAATTCTAATTTCTCATTAAATAATTTCTACAATAATACATACTTCTAGATTGGCAATAAAGCCTAAATGATAGTTAATATATAATTAGTAAAATTATATCATTCAAGTGCTAGCCATCACCACATATTCCTTTATATAGCTGATACCAAAAGCATATACATATATATAATAGCCACCTTTGAATATAAACTGTAAAATGTTTAACATTAAAGCATCAAAACAAAAAATGAGGGGTAATTTTAAGTTCAAAATATAACACTTATTTTCTTTGATTAATGATTATTCACTATTAAGCAAACTAGATTAAGTACAGTTTTATCCTTGTCAACCAAGTAGTTATATTTGAACAGTACAATAATACTCCAAATATAATAGTCACGAATTAGGTGATAGTAATGTAAAAGAAGAAACAATAAAATAAATAGCATGCATCAGAAATTACATGTGCTACTGACTTTCTAAAGATCAGTAATCACTAAACTATCAAATTATTAAGCTATTAGAAGCCTAAACCTAATTAATTACATGAAATAGAAGTCTTAACTCTCACTCCACACATTTTCTCCACAATAGCTTTTAACAACTGTTTTTACATTTATTCATCACATTTTAAATGATAATAATTTCGAAGAATATTTGCATGGAAATTGCACACAGTGGTCACATTTTATAGTTCTGCGTTATATTTCCATCAAACCCCATCAGATATCTAATAGAACAGAAACAATGTTAAATGTCAAATTTTTCTGCATTATGGCTTTCATTATAGAATTTTCTAAAACATATGAAAAGTTAATATAGTAGTTTTCCAAAAATTAAACTGATCGTATATTAGAGTCATATAAGCAAAACACTGGTCAGAACTTTTAAAATTGACATGTCATAGTTTTAATTAAGACATTAATTTTTCTACAATTGAATAATCTGCAAAAGAAAGTACTTAAGTATTATGGTATAAAAATTAAGATATATTATGGTGATGGCTAACTACCTTAAGACAGAAAAAAATCACCAAATTCATGAAAAAATTAGACCAGTAAGCAGATACTGTTTAGTCATATTAAAAATACTACCTTAAAACAATATGACTAAATATCTATTCAATACCTATAAAGAATTTCAGCTATCAATCAAATGGAACGGCATACTTTTACAATTCTAACAACAGAAATGCAAAATATTTTAGGTTCCATATTTCATCTATATGTGTATCTGAAAATAAATAATGAGATTTAACTATTTTTACTGGAACTCACACTTGCCAATATAAAAACAGTAATAGATCATTAAGTAACAATAAAATTATGTATCATTCTGGCTCAAAATGACTCTTATGAAACAGCTCACAAAATATTTCAGTGCCTAAATAGAATATTTAATAATATACTAATAGCTATAAAGACTAAACAATTTCCCGTTCTAAGAAATGAACATCAAGCTTCCTAACAGAGCACGTGGAAAAAGCATACATACACAATAAAAATGTCTCATATTTTTAATAATTATCAACTAGCTTATTGGACAGTATTAGTGATTTCTACTCAATATGACATTCAATAATTCAATAAAAGAATAGTAACAAATGCAGTCACTTAATGCTTTATATACCAGACATCAGTATGTAAGTATAAAGTATACATAGTATAGTAAAAGTACATGCTACACTATATACTTTAACCCTTCCT